GCAGCCCCTGGACAGCTGCAGGGCTCAGGGCTCTGCCAGCATCTTCCTCCCAGCCTGGGCCTGGCAGCTGCCCCACATCTCTGCAGGGCTGCTGGGGTGGGGGCCGCGGGGACTCACTGCCTGTGTCCACAGGGTGTGGACTCACTCGTGCTGGAGAGCGTGATGTTCGCCATCCTGGCCGAGCGGGCGCTGGGGCCACGGCTCTATGGGGTCTTTCCCCAGGGGCGGCTGGAGCAGTACATTCCGGTACAGGATAGAGTCCCCACCCCCCACCCCCCCATCCTGCTGGAGCCTGCATAGTGGGGGCTCCTCGCTCCGGCCAGCTGCCGTGGGAAAAGACGCCCCATGGGGCTTCTCGTGCCACTGAGGGCAGAGCCGGCTCCCCCAGGGCGGGCAGGCCGCTCACATCGCTGCTGTGTCCCCCAGAGCCGGCGCCTACGGACCGAGGACCTGCAGGACCCCGACATCTCCAAGGAGATCGCAGTGAAGATGTCCCGGTTCCATGGCATGGTGATGCCCTTCAACAAGGAGCCCAAGTGGCTGTTTGGGACCATGGAGTGGTGAGGGCAGCTGCGGTCCTGCACAGGCGTGGGCTCCCAGGTCACCTCAGCCCCTGAAATCCCATGGGGTCTGGGACACAGGGAGGTTTCCCGTGGGAAGAGGGTGCTGAACAGCTCCTCAGCGGCCCTGGCTCTGTGCCAGGCTGAGGAGAGAGGGGATTTTGGGGCATCTATCCCACTGCAGTGCTCTCTCCTGTGCTCCAGGTATCTGAAGCAGATTTCGGAGCTCACCTTCCCCAAGGAAGAGCAGCTGAAGAAGTTCAACCACCTCAAGACCTATAACCTGCAGGAAGAGATGAAGAGCCTCAGGTGAAGCTGACCTGCCCACTGGCACGGCACAGCGTGGGGGCTGACTCTGTTTCCTTGCCAGCCTCCTCATGGGGAGTCTGGGGGGACTTGGCTTCTCCAGAAACTGGTCTCTTCTGTCCCATGTCCTCAGAGGGTGCCTTCCACTCAAGGGCCCTGTGCAGGCCCTGGGGGATGGCTCTCAGAGGGATCCCTGCATCCCCGGGGCAGGGTTCCTACCAGGTTCCTTGCACTCTGGATCCCAGCTGTGTCCGTAGCTCTGTCTGCCCACGTTGCGGTGGCAGCGGTGGTCCCTGTGGCTGGCGGGTGAGGGCCAGCAGGTCCTGCCCCTGCTGAGGCATCTCTCCCCTGAACTGCAGGGAGCTGCTGGAGTCCACCCCCTCGCCGGTGGTCTTCTGCCACAACGACGTCCAGGAGGGTGAGTGCAGCGGACGGGCAGCTGCTTCCCCTCGCGAAGGCTGGTCCTGCAGCTGGTCTCTCTCCCTGGCCTGCCCAGCTGGAGCCTGCCTGCCTGCCCCTGGGCACCGACTCGGTCTCCTGCCCCTGCCTGCAGCTGCCCCCCCGGCTCTGGCAGAGGTGGTGGGTCTCCCCCTTTCCCCCCCTGAGCCAGCCCTGTCTCTGCGCAGGGAACATCCTGCTGCTGGCTGGACACGAGGCTTCCTCCTCCGACAAGCTCATGCTCATCGACTTCGAGTACAGCAGCTACAACTACCGGTGGGGCTGGGGGCTGGCGGGCTCTGGTCTCCTGCTTGCGAGAGACCTCTGCTCACCCTCCCATTTCTCCAGGGGCTTCGACATCGGCAACCACTTCTGCGAATGGGTTTACAACTACACCCACGATTCCTGGCCCTTCTTCAAGGCGTCCCCGGAGAACTACCCCAGCCGGCAGCAGCAGGTAGAGCTGCCCTGTCCCTTGGCAGCGGGTGCTCCTGGTGGGGGTGTGCCAGACCTGGCGGTGCCAGGGCAGTGCCGGCAGCAGCGTCCCAGCCTGCTCTGTCCCTCTTCCAGCTGCATTTCATCCGGCATTACCTCTCGGAGGACTCGGGGCGACGCGGGGACACTACGCACGAGGAGCAGGCCCGCATCGAGGAGGAGATGCTTACAGAGATCAATCGGTGAGGGGCACATTGGTGTGGAGGGGAGTCCCTGTGGCCACAGGGGCCATCCTGGGGGCATGTCTCCGGGTCCTCCGCTGGACAGAGAGGGCAGCACCCCCAAAACAGTCCTCATCCCCCTCCCTCCTGCTCGCCATTGGTGTGGGGCAGGGACGAGGGGGCCTGGCAGGGCTGACAGCTGCTCCCCATCAGGTTCACTTTGGCCTCCCACTTCTTCTGGGGCCTGTGGTCCATTGTGCAGGCGAAGATCTCCACCATCGAGTTCGGGTACCTGGTGAGTGCTGCCCCTGGGTGCCGGGAGGGCCGTGGATGGGGCCCTGCCTTGCGCGGGACTTGCCCTGGGGATCCCTTGCACGTCACCCCTCCTCTGACACAGGGTGTCGGGGTGGGGGGCCGGGGCTGTCAGGGGGCACAGGCCGTCCCTGACTCCCCTTTCCCCCCCCAGGACTATGCACAGAGCCGCTTTGAGGCCTACTTCCAGCACAAGGCGCAGTGCTCCTGAGAGCAGCCGCCCCAGCCCTGCCTGCGCTCACCTTGACTCCACAGCTTCCCCCTGCCCACCCCGGCAGCGCCTGTGCCGCGGGTCAGGCCAGGGACGCGGTGTCCCCTTCCCAGTGGCCCACCCCCCGTGCTGTGAGGGGGGCTGCCCCCCAGCCTGGGCTGCCTGGATGGGTGCTGTAACGCTTTGGGGGGCTGGTGCCCACCCTGCTCCTCAGGGCTATGCAGCAGAGCGGGGAGACAGGTGGGTCTGCCTGGGCATGTGCCCCCTGGAAAAGGGGACGTCCTGCTTGGAGAGGTGGCACAGCAGCCGTGGGGCCATGTCTTTGCTACCAGTCCTGTAGAAATGGCCACGGGGGGGGGAGGCAGTTGCCCGGTCCCCGCCTGCCCCTGTGGTGCTGTCTGTGGCTGTCCCCTCGCTGCCTCTGGCACAACCCCTCTGTGGCAGCACGTCCCTTGCCTCTGCGCTGCTGGCATTGAGCTGTGGGTCCCAGCTGGTGGGATCCCCCTGCCCCAGCCAGCAGTGGGGTGGGGGCTGGTGGGTGGCTCGGCTGTCCTGACTGCCCCTTGCACGGTCCTGCCTGGAGCTATGGTCCTGCCTGCTGAGAGGGGTCTAGGCAGGGATGCTGAGAGGTCCCAGGGTGCTGCTGGGGGCAGAGGGGTGTGGGGGACCTACCCTTGTATCTCATTCCCCCCCCAGACACCTCCCCAGACCTCTGGGGCCAGGGGCAGGACCTGGGAGCTGATCTGCCAGCCCCTGTGCCCCGGCCTGGCTTCCCTGCGGCTCTTGGCTGCTTGGCCGGGGCCGGGGGCTGCTCCTTCCCTCCCCTCCCGACAGCAGAATGTAAACTCTCCTCAGACCAATAAACGCTGCGGTGGTGCACGGTGCCTGCTTGCTCTCCTTGGCCCCACAGCCACCATCTCCTCCTCGCTCGCTCAGGGCTTGCTGCAGCCCCTGACCCGGCGTGGTGTGGGGTCCTGTGTCCCAGGCTGTGGTGGGCTGTTGGGGGGGGCTGCCCCACAGCAGCATGCGCTGACCCTCTCCCCAGATGCTGCCCCATCTCCTCCCGCCTGCACCCCTCCAGGGCCTTTGGTTCTTCGAGGTGGGTTTCTGGGTGATGTCGGGTGCTGTCCTGGCCCCCCCGCAGCCCCACCGGGGAGGAGCGATGCTCTGCGGATGCTCAGGGTGGCACAGGGAAGCATGGGCTTCCTCCAGAGCCAGGGTGGCGAGTGGCTCACATCCACCCCCTGCTCCAGGTCACCCCAGGACCTTCCCCAACACACGGTGCAGTCAGCAGAGCCACAGGGCCGTGAGCTGTCCGGGGCTCACCAGGCCTGGCCATATGTGCTCGGCCCTGGCTCTTGGGTGCCCATGGCTGCCCAGCCCCATGGGGGGGTTGCAGGCAGCACAGGAGCAGGGGGGAGCCGGGCTCACCCCGGACCTCGGCCCCACACCCCTGGTGCAGCCCCGGCCCCTTACCAGCCCTGGGGCTTTGGACACTGGCCCTGACCCAGCCCGTGGGTGCTGCTGCCGGGGGGGGGTCTCAGCCTGCTCTTGACTGGGCCTGGCAGCGGGTCACGGCTCTGCCCATCCGCGCCAATGAGCGGAGCTTTGGCACAGTGCAGCACCTCAATCACACCTTCCCTATTGGCAGCTCCTGGGAGTGGGGGGGGCTCGTGGCTTTGCCTTCTCCGCGGCCACCTGCCCATGGCCCCCTTCCTTTTGCCCCCCTTCCCCTACCCACCAAGCTGCCCACCGGCATGTGCGGAGCTGAGCATGGGGCGGCACATGGTGGGGGGCTGCATGGGGCTCGCCC